GATGATATTGAAAGGAAAAAGGCAGTCTTTAGACACCTAAATAAGAGAGTAAAAGAAGTAGTTGAAAGGAAAAAGCAAGAAAGAACGGATAAGAATGATAGAAGAATATCGGATAACTTCCAGGCAAACATTAAAATGTTCTGGAAACTCGTAAGAACTACCAGGGAACATTCAAAACAGCCTATAATGAATGCTATACGAGACCAGAATGGCTGTATTCTGAATGACGAAGTTTTGAGTTTAAGCAGATGGAAGGAATACTTTGAAAGCGTGTTTATGAGTGATGAGACGTTTGAATTAAATTAAATAGAAATTCCGAAAGAAAAGGAAATAGATAGAGATATAAGTATAGATGAAATAATGAAAGCAATGAAAAGTATGAAAGCAGGTAAGGCAGCTGGTTATGATAGAGTATCTCTCGAAATGCTAAGGGCTGGAGAAGGAGTTGTGGCAGACCTGCTGTACACCTTATTTAATTTATGTTGGGAACTTAAGCGGGTACAGGGAGACTGGTGCAAAGCCGTGATAGTCCCAATATATAAAGGAAAAGGATCACAGCAGGTCTGCCGTGGTATCAGCCTTCTTAGCATTGTGGGAAAACTGTATGCTAAGGTACTAATTGAAAGAGTTATGGAAGAAACTGATGGAAAAATTTGAGATGTGCAAGCGGGATTTAGAAAGGGAATGGAATGTACGGATCAGGTCTTTTCCATGCGCATGATCGCGGAGAAGTTTTTGGCCAAAAACCAAAAAGTTTTTTGTGCGTTCATGGACTTGGAGAAGGCTTATAACAGAGTGGACAGGGATGTGTTATGGCAAACACTGAACTCATTTGGGTTGAGCGCTGGCTTGATACAGGCATTGAAGTCTCTATATAGGGACTCTAGTGCTTGTGTCAGGATCAACGGGGCCTACTCGGACTGGTTTGGCATCCATAAATGTGTCAGACAGGGCTGTGTGGCTTTCCCGTGGCTGTTCAACCTATTTATGGACAGTTGTTTGGAAAATTTGACAGTAGAAGAATGCGGGTTAAGAATGGGTGAGTTAACCGTAAGATGCCTTTTGTACGCCAATGATCAAGTCATACTTGCGTCGTCGGCAGCCGAGTTGCAAATGATGGTTACATTAATGAACAGGACATTTAAAGAAAAGGGAATGAAAGTGAACGCAAGTAAGACGAAAGTTATGGTTTTTGGAAGAGAAGAAAGTAAAACGATATGTGAAATAAGAATAGAAGGGGAGTTGGTAGAGCAAGTAGATGAGTTATTGTATTTGGGATGAGTGTTTAGCAGGGATGGTAGATATGATAAGGATATAGAACGACGAGTAAATGCAGGAAATAGAGTGAATGGGGCTCTACACTCTATTGTGAAAAGTCAGAATGTGTCCAAAAAGGCACGTATGGCAATTCACAATGCTGTGTTAGTACCTACTTTAATGTATAGTAGGGAAAGTTGGGTGTGGCAGAAGAAGCACGAGAGTAGAATAAATGCTGTAGAAATGCGGTCATTAAGGAGTATGTTATGGATGAATCTGAATGACACAGTGAGAAATTGTTTAATAAGAGAAGAGTGTGGTTTGCAAGATGATGTTGTGACCAGGATTAAGAAAGGAATGCTTCCGTGGTTTGGTCATGTAGAAAGAATGAATGAGGAAAGAGTGACAAAGCAAATTTATGTTGCAAAGGTGAACGGCAGAGTCGGGAAGGGTCGCCTTAGGCGAAAATTCATCGACCAAATTGGCGATATATTGAAAATGGGCCAAATCAAGAGTACCTTTAAACGACGAGCGTGTATGCGTAGGTATATGAATGTGGAGGAAGCGAGAGAGGTGTGTCAGGATCGTGCCAAATGGAAGTCCATGGTCTCTGCCTACCCCTCTGGGTGACAGGCGTGAGTGTTTATTATATTATGTTTTAACATTTATTTCTCCCGACAACAACCCCAAAATCCCGACATTTTTAAATTTTGTCCAGATATTTTGGTCTTCCGATCTGGCAACCCTAGCTGCACCAGAGGTAGATCGCAACAGCGTGCTCTAGGCGATTGAATGTTAAAGTTTTTTTAACGCTGTTTATGTAAATAATTTTTTGTATATATTTGATGAAATACATACCCGTCGAAATAGTTTTTGTTTAGTGTTTAGTATATTTAATTATAGGATAAAATAGTTGAAAAAGTTTTAATTTAATTTAAGAATAAGTAATCTCTCTTAATATATATTACGTATATTACCTATACATTTGATAATGGCAAAACGTCGTTCCTACTATAATTGTTGCGGGGATGGATGCGTAATGAGCAATTAAAAGGATTCAGATATATCATTTTTTGAGTTACCGAAGGATAATGAAAGACAAATTTAATTCATTTTTTTCTTAGATACTTAGGTACTTATAGCGAAAAAATAATTAAGTAATAATTTAACTACAGAAATAATACCTAAGTACTTTATAACAAAAATTAGTTGAAATTTACTTCAAGTACCTACTTACATACCTATACTCGTCTTTGTAATTAAAATATAAGTATATTAGTTATAACAGCACAAAATACTGTAATTAAAACTTTGTTTACAAGATTTTCAACTAAGTAGATTACGATCATATTTCTGTTAGGAATCGTATTTCGGGTTTATTTGTTGTTTACGCTACCTACCTATACGAACCAAGCATCGCGATTCCCGACGAATGGCCTTGCAAGTTGCATGCATTGGGCATCACAGAACTCACATAGTAGATAATATGGTCGATTATTATTTATTATAGTCAGCATAAGTACTTTATCTAAGTACCTTACCATTTCACAATGTATTTATTTTTTTACTATTTATTAACAGTCCTTAGCAACCACGGAAAGTCCCTTGTGACGTAGTAAGGAGAAAAGATACAAAGTAATACGGGCACTCGCGCGCAGCGATAGTTTTATTTAGCTTGCGTGCGCAATTTATCTGATTAATAATAACTATGTAGGCTACTTAGAATAATAACAACTAGAACGATAGTTCCCTACAAAAAAATAGAGTTGCCAATACATTAAATTTTCCCCAAAAGTAGGGAAGTTGAAACTATATTAGATTAATACAACGGAACGTATGACTAATACAAATATGAATATAAGTTTGGTTGAATTCTGTTACCAAAGTGTAGCTCACCAAATTCAAAATATTCTTTCATAGGGTATTTGCCTGTCTAGCTAAGTGAGATACTTTTATGAGCCATCTAAATGTGATTGCATTGCATCATATTTTTTCTTTGTAACTGTATAGAGACGTTATAATTATATGACTAATGCAAGTTCCATATACACACCTGCCCGATGCCCGATGCCCGACACACAACTGTTCGACGGAAGAGTTGACCGAATTCAGTATTCATTTTTCAGTTCGTTTTTAACTAATTTGTTTGTAATAATCGTCGAATAATGGTGTACCGCGCCTCACTGAATGCATAATTTAAACTACAATACGAAAAAAAAAGAAGAACATTTTAATTTTGGCAGGTTTTACATAGTCCTCACGGGTAGACAACGCATCTGCATTTTGATTCTTTATTGAGAATAGTTGTAGATGTCTATGGCTCACAACATCCACTTACCACGAGGTGGACTGTGTTCTTTTGTCACGGTATCCTATAAAAAGAATGTAAAGAACAAATTTTTGTATTTTTGGTCGGCTTTCAACTGCTTTGATTTCGATTGTGTCTGATGGTTTCTGTCTAACAAGTTGTAATGATCGGATCAGAAGGAAACCTAAAACCAAAATCAAACATGCATTTATTATTAGACCATATAAAAAGCTTCCTTAAAATTTATCATCCATATTTTTAAATAAATTCAATGCGTTGCATTTTTCCGATTTTGGAAACTCTGATAGTAAAAGTTGTAGCGTTGCGTTATGCACTGTATTTAATTCCTATGTGTTTTACTTTTAATTAAACGACAAAATGTGGGAGAATTTTTATTCACTTTGGCAACATTTCCATATAATGTGACGTGTCAGTTTATAAATAAATCATATTTATTTTTGATGAATTTTTTACGTAAAAATATAAATTCAAAAGCATTTTTTACACGTGAAATGTCATGTTACTATGTTTCCTGTGTTTCTTTGATGTACTGTGACACATCCGTTCACTGCATAAACCGTAATTTTAATTAAAATTTAGGGAGCTGTTGTCAACACGACACGACTTTGAGCACTAACGGACCGAGTATTGAACTAAGCCGTATTGGCTTAGTTTGAGTTGCCCCACATTACGGACGCGGACTCGGCGTCTAGGTGTTATTATTCTAAGGTAGGCTATTAAAACTTCGGCAAGCAGTCAACATCAAAAGAGTGCAACTTCTGTACGTAGTACTATTATTTATTCTGTGATTATGTTTGTAATCGTTAGAATAATATGAGTTCGAAATACAAAATGTTTTTTATGGCATTTATCTTATTAAAGTCAACTCGTAGTACAAAAATGGAAAAGAAAAATGTTATACTAAAACTCAATAATCTCATAAATAAACGAACGAGTTACCTTATGAGCACTTCACGGTCTATTACATTATGCCATAATGAACTAACTCAGAAACTATCTCATGGATTCGTAGCCTATTTCATGATTACATAAATGAATTGACGAATTGACGCAGTGATTCATAATGACTTGGTGAGCTATTTAATTAGAGTTGGTCAGCGATGTATTTGTGTATGCGTGTGTGTGTGTGTGTGTGTGTGTGTGTGTGTGTGTGTGTGTGTGTGTGTGTGTGTGTGTGTGTGCGTGCGCATGTGTGTGTGCGTGCGTGTGCGTGTGTGTGCGTGTGTGTGCGTGCGCGTGAGTGTGTGTGTGTGTGTGTGTGCGCATGTGTGTGTGCGCATGTGTGCGTGCGTGCGTGTGCGTGTGTGTGCGTGTGTGTGTGTGTGTGCGCGTGTGTGTGTGTGTGTGTGTGTGTGTGTGTGTGTGTGTGCGTGTGTGCGTGTGCGTGTGTGTGTGTGTGCGTGCGTGTACTTACACATGCGGCGGGTAGTAGGTGAGCAGCGCCTCGGTGCGGGCGGCGGCCGCGTTGTAGCGCGTGGCGGCGAGCGACGCGTGCAGCGTGAGCGTGTGGCGGCCCGGCGGCTCGCGCAGCGGACACGCGCCGCCCAGCCGCCAGCGAGTGCTGCGCGACAGCCGCCAAGCGAGACCCTCCATGATGCCCGTGTCGAAGAAGTCGAACATGCGCGCTGAAAATTTACACTCATATACACAACCGTAACGTTATAACAAAACCGACCAATCCTATACATTTGTAAATTCCTAAGACTACATACGCTATACATAAAAACTAACACTAAAATGCCTTGATCGATCTTGATTGATTTTCCATCACAATTGAAAATAATCCGAAACTATCAAATAAAAAAGATACATTATTGTATACTGCAAATTCACGTGCAAACAGAACAAAAGCAACAATTTGTTTATACAATACATAATATGTTGGGTTCGTCAGAAGGGCATACCCTAGGATACGGTACCGTGCTAGGCATTCTAACTTAGCTATATACTTGTCACTTCTTCCTCAAGTCCACTGCTATACATGGCCTCTAACCATGTATGCAGGATTCGCCTAAATAGTTACGCTTGACTGCTGGATTGGTGGCCCTATTTTGGTGATTGATTGGTGACGCTATTGTCTATCGCCATTGTGAGTTTTATTTTTAGAGGTGCAGTGAAAGAAATGGCTATAATGCCATCTATCGGAAGCAATAAGATTTTTCTAGTATTCCCCATAATCGCCTTTCACCACACCCACCGCACGAAATGGGAGGATAAATTCTCTTAAACCGCTATCATTATATAATCCATAGCTTCGTGTGCGTCGCATATTATGTCAATTAAACAGAATACCAACGTCACCATGACTTATATCTCAGTCATACTCAACAGTAAGATCAGTGAACGAATCGAAACATTAAACATTCCAAGCAGTTCCCTTATGATGAAGGTTCTGATCGTAAAACATTCATTTGAAACAGGGATGGAAAATGAATTACAATTCCATTTTTGTATTATTAAAACATTGTGTACTGTGGTTACTTATCCCAAGTAATCCCTTGTGATGAAAATTCTTATAGTAAAACATACATTCTAAACAGGCATGGAAAATGAATTACAATCAAATTTTCGGATTATAATAAAATTGTGTACTGTGGTCACCTATTCCAAGTAGTCCTTCTTTATGAAGGTTCTGATGGTAAAACATTAAATTTAAACAGGCGTGGAAAATTAATTACAATTCCGTTTTTGGATTATTATAACATTTTGTTCTGTGGTCACCTATCCCAAGTGCTTAGTCCCTTATGATGAAAGTTCTGATGTCATCCATTTAAAATAGGCATGAAAAATTAATTAACATCCCATTTTTGGATTATTAAAACATATATTGTGGTCACCTACCTATTCCAAGCAGTCCCTTATGATGACGGTTCTGATGGTAAAAATCCATTTTAAATAGGTAAATGAAATACAATCCCATTTTTCGATTATTAAGTTATTTTAAAAATTTTAAGGAAATTAAAGAAATTAAAAAAAGTTTTCAGTTTTTTTATTTTCAGTTCAATTTTTTTATAGCAGAGGGGGCAAACGAGCATGCGGCTCACCTGATGGTAAGTGACCGCCCATGAAACCACGACACAACACGATGGAAATGAGTGCGCATTGTATACCGAAATGGCAGTTTTACAGCCCTATTTTGTTTTTGTTCTTGCGTGCATAGTAAAAAGTAAAAAAGAAAAGTTTCGCTGTCGGAATGCTTGCTGAATAAATCTCTCAGAAATGGACGTGTACCAGCTCTTTACTTTCATGTTGTAAGAAATGGGTCTATTAAATGGATTTTAATATTTAACGTAATCTCACTTACCCGACCATGGTTGTCGCCTATACCGCAACTTCTTGCCATTCCGTCTTATGAGTTTTGCTGAGCTGTCAGCCGTTTTCTTGCTTCCGCTGCTGTTGGGAGACGCCTCGTTGAAATGGTTATTGACGTGCCTCTCCAGCAGAGTCTGTAATTTGTAATTATTAAATTAGCTTTAAGAATTTTTTTTTAAATATAGACTACGACGTTCACTATATACGTAGCGAACAGTGGTATATTTACATCGTAACCTATACAACTATATACCCCTAAATTATTTTTTTATAATTTCTAGACTCTATAAAAGATATGATTTCATAAAGGGGTAAGGAAAGTTATGACAACTTATGTGTAATAATATAACTATAAAAATATGAGACTATAGCAGTCAATAAATGGCGGTAGATTCATTTATCATGAAAGTAGCGCGAGACTTAGCATATCGGGTGGTAAGTCAGAGACAAATGTCTATGATCAATCAAAGAAATTATATTATTGTTTTTTTTTTTTAATTTTATTCCCAGAATTTTTAAAATTATTTATTTAAGAAAAGATATTCTTAATTTAGTATTCCATGAAACAATGATAATGCAATGAAATGATCGCGACAGAAAAAAATGTATGAATTTTGTGTGAATTTTGAATATATTTTATTTAACTTCAGACATATCTTAAGACATATGTTATGAAGAATTTTATAACGAGATTGTTTTGTGTACATATTTATCCTGCTTATTACGAAATATACTAATTTTGAAAATCGACAGTAAATGAGATAAAAGATAGAGAACGATAAAATGTTGTTAGTTTAATAGAATAAGCAGACAAAATTACTTCAGTACAGGGTTATTTCTTAATTCTAACACAATACTTGATTTATTTATCCTGTATGAACTAGCAGCTGACACTACTCATTCTGTTGCTCCCCTCGAAGTGGTTCAAAATAAAAATAAAATTATATCGCACAATAAATTTATTGGGAATCAAACGAAGCTGAGACTGACACATGTTTTAATATCCCAATAACAATAAATTAATTTATTGAACGATATAAAACAAAATAAAATGGTGTAGATTGCACTAAGTTGCCGTTCAGTGTGACCAGGTCGCAGTGGTTTCTTCTTTGTCCTTAGGAAAGAAAACATAACACAAGTTTATCGTTCGATATTTATATTGCAGAGGATCCAATCGAACTCTCGAAATCAAATCCACGAGTATGGCAACAGCACTACTGGAGATTTAACAGCATAATGACAAGTTTTCGATGGTTCCTTTTAGAGACAGTGGATACTTTATGTTACTAACCAAAATCATTTATGAACCTATTAGTGTGGTGCCACATATCAAGTGATTGAATCACACCGTTAATTTCAAGGTGTAGATTTGGATAAGAAGAAACTGAATGCAAAAAGTTATGACGACACATTGCTAAAACCTGACGACAAATTCAAATCAACAATATTTGTGAATCGATAAATTTTTAACGAAAATCGCAATCAAACGATTACTCTTCAAGAACACGTGTGATGCAATCACCTTTGATCAGACGTGATTTGAAGAGTACGATAATAAACGAATTTATTTAAAAATAAAAACAATACACACGAAGAAAACAGAACTTTTGCAACTAACAGGTCCGTATCAGATAATTCGAAAAAACTAAAATTTTAGAACTAGGTACTTGTTGCATTACAAATAGATTTTGTCACATCTCAATAATTACTACTATCAACTTCAATAACGATTGAGGTTGATATTTATGCCGGTAGTGACTACTCGCCACGACACATACAACTTCATGAAGCTACACTATTACTTACACGCGATACAATAATGCACTCCAATGTCAAAAGGATTAAACGTGTTAAGAACCGATTGAGATTTCCTTTTCTCGTTTTTTTCCATATTTATTTGTATGCATATTATATATTTTCCAACGCTCTAAAATACTTCCGAATAAGTGAATACGGGCCTCGCACTGAAGAAGTTTCAATATTCAAACCAACACGAAAAGCCGTCAAAACGATATAAACAATAATCCTTTAAGTCTAAGCGGCAATAGTGTTATCGTGGATTCGCTTTGGCGATGTGTCTTCTGGCTCCTGTAATAGAAATTTTCAAGGAACGTAATTGTACCTGTGTGGAAAATCTCCGATCGCAGCCATCGACGATGCATTTGAAGGGTTTGTTGCCGCCGTGGGAGAGTGCGTGCCGCTCCAACCATAGCCTGGAGCACGACGGTTTGCCGCGTACTTTGCACTGCTCCCATTGGCATACGTAGTTTTCTTGTCCCGCTTGCGATTCAACGTGGACCGACTGGAACCGTAAAAAAGAGTCGTAATTGGCAGATAAAAGGAGTTACCACAGCTTATTTGTTTATTTACAATGATATTTCAGTCTTTAGTAATTTTTAACCTTTAAAAGATAACGGTCAAGACTAAAAAATATATTTTATTACTATTAAATATAGAATACATACTTAAAACACTAAAAAGTTATAACTAACCTGTAAATGTTCTAAAAGATCAGTATCACTTTCGAATTCCCTCTTGCAATTCTGCCACAGGCAGACGGTGACTGTAGTATCTGTGCTAGAAGTCCGTTTTCCGTTCTGCGGTTTAATATTACTCTTGGGCGGAAATCGTAACGTTTTCGGCTGCTTTAAAATCGGACTTTTCTGACTAGTCTGCACATCCAATGAACAAACACTAATACTTAACGATAAAGATGAATCGTCGTCACATTCCTTACTCGTTTGCGAGTCACTAGGCGAGTCTATCGACTTGTCGGTGCCTATTCCTGATTCTGACGACTCCGTTGTTGCACTGCAGAAGTTGGCTTCTATAACAGAGCTTTCTACGTTTGACGTAACATCCTTCAGAACTGTTATTTGTGTAAATATTGTCTCTTCTCTTCTCGCTACTTCGTCTACCTTTCTTTTTTCTTCTAACGTCATTAATTTTCTTGACTTAGATGCTTCTTCCTCGATAAGTTTATTTTCTCCACTCATTCCGCAAATTTTGTTTTGTGCCAATTCCTCTAATTTCTCAGACAAACTACTCACTTGAGCAAAAGGCCTCGAAGTTAATTTGTTCGAATCCAATGAAACAAAATTATTATTTACAGTTTTTGACAGCCAGGGAATATCACATTTTTGATTATTACCTTCAATAAATTCGGGCTCTTTTACTGTACTGCTAGGTGGGTCTGTTCCTTGGATCGGATTGTCGGGTGGTTTCACTGGAGGAATTGGTATACTACTCGAGTGCAGAGCTTGCGTTGTGAAATTAGGCACCAATGGCGGCGGATGATGAACAAGGGGATTCAAACATGTCGTTTGAGAAGACGATGCTGGATTTGTACTTGAACAGCTCCAAGTTTCCTTAACGTTAAGATTTGGGACTGACGTAACAATGAATCCGGGTTGTGGCACTAATACGGGATGGCTTAAATTAACTGTGTAATTTGTTTTCGGCTGAACTGTCATTCCAACAGCTTGCAGTCCTGATACATTTTTATTCATACCTGGCATTGACTGACTTGTAACTGAGGACGCTTTGTTAACATTAGGATATGGAGACGTCATAGTATTGGTTAATTTTAAAAGTGTTCCATTAATAAGAATCTGAGCCCCCTGTTGATTAGGCATATGATCTTGCCTTTGAGCCGTCAGCTGTGCAGTTTGAGGCAATACGAAGTTCGACATTTTAGCCATGAGGTTAGGTATTTGAACGACAGTGCCGTTTATATTCTGTACAAAGGGAAATACAAACTGGCCGTTAAGTTTTGTCGGACTCGATGACATGTTGACGTTTGGTCGATTGAAGGAAGTCATACCGTTTTGTTGATTTAATGTCTGAGCAGGTATACCGTTCGGTGGTATCCTTAGCGTAGTAAGCATAACATTATGAGGCACTGCCACAAAGGATGCCAAGTTTGTGGATGTCACCGTGCCGTTGCATGATTGCGGGTGTTGAAGATTAATTGGATGACAATTTTGAAAATTGGTAACAGGTACGTTCAAATTGCCTAAGCTGTTATTTACTGCCATAGAAACTTGTCGAACGCCATTTGGAATATTCATCTTTGGTGCAGCGTTCGCTTCGCTTGGAATGCTTTTCACCGGAGCGCTTTGTACTGAATTGGAACAATTTTGTTTTTGGAGCTGTACTTGCTTCAAATTGTTCGCTTTGGACCATGTTAAATTCTTACTGTTCGCAATACATGCTGAAGATTTTCGATTAGTTCTTTTTTGCGAGGATGCGATCTTCTTTATCGGCTCTTTCTTCGACGTTGTGAGTTTAGGCGTGACGTTTAAGTTTAAATTGTTCGAACCACGCGTGACCCCGTTCATTACATTGTCTAATTTAGTGGTCGAGCTCACCACTCCATTCATCTTTGCATTGTCAGCTTTTGAGGCAGTAATCTTTTTTGGATACTGGCAATCAGATGTGGCCGGTGCTATTCTAATTCCTAACAAGTCATTAGCGGCCGGAATAGAAATTTTACGTTTAACAGCACATGACTTCTGTTTACTTGCATTCAAAATTCCATTGGCAGATGGATCCTTAGATGACTTCATTTCGAAGCTGGGTTTCTTGCTATCAACCATGCCATTATGAAGCCCCGTTGTAACTATGTCTTTGTTCTTTGATTCTTTTGCCTGTCGAATGTCAACAAAGCCATTCATTGTTGTGTGCATCCTCTCTTTATTATCTTTAGGTATACAGTAATCAAGTACACCTCTTGCTTGACCGGCTGTTCTACTGAGATCTATGTCCTTACTAGTGGTGTCTACAGTACTATTGGCAGGTTGACTGATTGGCTTCCGTATATCAGCTTGTTTTCCAACATCTAATAATACTTTGGGGCTAAGGGTTTGGGATAAGTAGGAGATGTACTTTTCGAGATCGTGAGTGACCCCGTTTTTCGGTAAGCACTTCTTCTTGTCATCGTTGGATAAGACCACATCGCGTTTGAGGCCATTATGGGGCTTCATTTTGTGGTTAAAGTATTCGGTGATGCGGCGGTGGCTAGGATGGTTCGGGCGGCGCAGTGGCGCTGGTTGGGCCGCGAGGCGCCTCGGGCCCGGCGCCGGCTCGCTCGCCCAGGGAGGCATACGCGCGTTCGCGCCCTCCTCGCCCGACGATTCGGGACTACGTGGCGAGCCTGGCTCGGTGATATCGCTGCTGCTGCACCCGCCACTCTCCGCCGGACTCAGCACCGCCACGCCACTGTAACAATAATTAATTGTCATTACATTGATTAAGATAATATTAACGATATAATATTTAAAAAAACAATTTGGTTGAAGTAGACGCAGCAAACCGCCACGCATCATCGTACAATATCTAACGAACACTACAATACAACAAATGGTGCATTCGAACGGACCTTACAGATACCGCATCGTTACATTTTAGGAACAACTCATTGATATTTGATGCTGAACTATTATACGTAAGTCACGGCTACCATAGTGTGATGGTTAGTTCATCGAGACAGAGATTACGTTGGGGGGTTAATGACGATCAGCTGTTGAATGGTTGGTTACGATCGATAGCACGAGGATAGGCGTGCGAAGGGGTCGGCGGTGCGGGGCGGGACTCGACGCGCAAGGTGCAATGCCCTGCCTGCCGGTCCAGTGCAGTGACGCAACGCGTCGCGTCGCTGCACTGACCGACCGTCGGACGGGCACTACTTTAATTATTTCGAGCCGCACGACATTCACCACACGTACTCTAAGGCGGGCAATGATTTTACGTCTTTATTGTTGCTGTCTTCCAAACGCTTTATTACTTTGTTCCCGCTTTCCCAGGCACATATCAGTCACACGTCGTAATGCTTACGTAGAATAGAAATGTCGACTTATTTAAGCGTTCATAGCGGCATTGCTAACACGTGCAAATGTTTATTTTAGGGGCATTCTACCTGATAACTCGTTTAGAAATCTTTTGTTGGATGAAATCCACACGTAAATGTCGAATGATAAAATTTTGATATGTACTTCTGGTTATATCCGGAATAAAATAAGCCTAAAGCTAAAAGGAATAAGTGTTATTTTTATGTTTGCGGCGAATGCTACCAGAGTTTAATAGTGTAGGTGGGGTAAATTCTGAGAACTCAAGGTACACCCTCGCCCTTTACCGAAGCCGCAATTTCACACACTACTATAGCTATACCCTCCCCTTTATGCACTGCTGTGGGAGCATCTTCGTTAATTGATCCAATTTTGAGATTAATTTTTTTGCAGCTAATATTTATGAGGCACATCTCAGTTTTTTTTTTAATAGAATAAGGGTGACAAACGAATACGCAGTCCACCTGATGATAAGTGGTTGCTGTGGCCCATAGACATCTACATCTATCTTCGTTTGTGAATCAAATTTGACGGTTCCGTGGCGCAGTGGCTTAGCAATCAGTTGTTGCGCTCGGGGCCGCGGGTTCGAATCCCGCACGGAACATGTTTGTCCTTGTGCAATTTATGTTTGTAAACTGCCTCCACGACACAGGAGAAAATCCTAGTGTGGGGGTCGTTTTTTTTTTTAAATAAAAAATAAATAAAAATGCAGATGCGTTGTCACCCGTGAGGACTAAGATGGAATGCCTCTTTTCCAGTAAAATGGGTCTTCGGTTCTCTACACACACCATACGAAACACAGCAGCATTAAGCTGCCATTTTACGCTGGTATTCTGTGAGAAATCCAATTTTGAGATTAATTTTTTTGCAGCTAAGATTTATGAAGCACATCTCAGTTATCTATATGGCAAAGACCGTGACAAAGCTTTAAAGTATTTTCTATCGACTTCAAACAGACGGAGATACTCAACTAGACTGAGTTTTTTTTTTATGTGTTACTTCTCTCGATGATTCTTTCGTTATTTCAAAGCTGGTTCTTCACATGTGGTCCCATATAAATTAGAAGACCAAAGTCTGACTAATAGTTTTTGAGTTATTCTTAATAATTTATATTAAAGTCAGTTGTACAAAATTTTTAATTTTAAATTATAACTATAGAGGAAGTTTTCTTAGAGGACTTAAAAATGGTAAATATCACTACTGGACTGAATGTTGTTGAAAAATCTGTTTTCTAAACATACAAACTATACTCTCTAAACGTCTCATACGATTACCCATAGTTGTTAGTGCGAGTGAAAAAGCTGTTTTAGTTTTAGTGGCTACTCAAGGATATTTGGGATCGTATATTCGGTCCTCTTGCTTCCACTATATAAACTACCGGATCTTTTAAACATGCGTGACAGAGATGGCGGATTAGCCCGCACTTTGTTCCCGAACTAAGCAAGCCCATTCGTACAATAAATGTGCTTAGCCGGCGAAATATTTTAAACGCCTTAGCATTCTCACGTTTCGGACGCTGACCGCAACATTAATTTATTGCCATATTCATATTTTAGTAATTAACGATATATATTTTTATTCATTTTATTTATCTATTAAACACACCAATAAATAGCACAATAACATAAGATTTGACAAAATATTTAACGATTAATATTAAAGCCAATCCAAATATTCATTTTTTAAATAATGTTTTGACTATGCACAATAACATATTATATCATACTAATAAATTAAATTATGTAACATCCAATAACAAGCTACAGTGTGAAAGAACACATTTCATATTTACATATTATATCTATAAAAATGAAATACTGGATTAGGTCTTCATCAAACACTGGCATAAATCACAGTCTAGTGTCATCCGTATCCACGACATTCCTTATATAATATCAGCTGGTCACGCTGCTCAGTTCTATATTTATTATTTATGTTTCATTTTATAATTGTCGCGGCTTTTGTCACGTCACATCTCGAACCTTTAACCTCCACGTCGTCGATCTGGGTACTTTGCGTTTGGTTCACAAGATGGTTATTACTCACACCGCCATCTAGTGAAACCTTCAAATATTTTTAGCTTTTCCAACAGCACCTCTCACGACACCTACGGGACGAAATGAGTTTTTTATTTACAGGATAAGTATGACAAAAGAGCACACATTTCACCGGATGGTATGTGAACGCTAGATATGGCGTATAGATATTTACATCTACGAGTATCGTCGATTAATAGTCAAAACGCAGGAGAGTTGTGCCCCTGAGAACAAAGATGTGGAATGCCTAGATAGTAAAAGGATTTTCCTATTAAGGACACTCCATATACGAAACAGCAGCATTATTCTGCTAATTCACGCTGATATACACAACACACACGTACTTAAGTGTGTAAGTGTATACAAAGGTGAGTGATGTATGTAATACATACATCACTCACCTTTGATTTGCCGACGATATAGTCCGTATGGCAAAATCGCTGAAGGACCTAAGCACTGTGCTCACTGACCTCAAAGTGTCTCCCAACGGATAGGTCTTAAGATGAACATGGACAAAACGAAGATCATGTATAACGTCCATGTCACACCTATACCGGTAGTTGTTGTGAGCACTAAGCTCGATGTTGTTGACGAGTATGTTTACCAGGGACAAATAGTCCGACTATTTGTCCCTGGTACTAGGTAAGTCCAACTTCGACCGAGAAGTCAATCGACGGATTCAACTCGACTGGGCAGCGTTCGGTAAATTACGGCACATCTTCTAGTCAGGTATACCTCAAAACTTCAAAACTAGACTGTACAACCAGTGCGTGTTGCCAGTGATGACCTATGGAACAGACACGTGGTCCTTCACTGCTGGTCGAATGAGGAAGCTTAAAGTGGCTCAGCGAGCTATGGAGAGGGTTATGCTCGGGCTCGCTCTGCGTGATAAACTTAGAAATGAGGATATCCGCAGCCCAACGGATTAGTAAGTTGAAGTGGCAATGGGCCGTCTATATAGCTCGAAAAACCGACAACCAATGAGGAGAAAAGGTTCTCGGAGTGGCGGCCTCGTACCGGCGGACGAAGTGTAGGGCGTCTCCCATTAGATGGAGTGACGACCTGGTAAGACATGCAGGAAGTCGATGAATGCAGGTGGCTCAGGACCGTGCTTTGTGGCATTCCTTGGGGGAGGCCCATGTTCAGCAGTAGACTTGTGATGGGCTGTAATGATGATGATGATGATGATTATGTAAGAGCGTAGTCCTACCCCGGTCTAGCCGACTCATCATGCTGCAACTATATATAGCTCTGCTCACTGCTCTATACTTAGCTTGTTCGGCACTACTACGTAAAAATAAAGGATTCTCTAACGCGATCACACAACATACAGCTTTATGATTTAAATACAAATACATTTAAAACGCCAATGTAACGCCATTGTTTACATTAAACACGATACACAGTAGGTATAACAATATCATGTAAGTTAGCTCATAGGTCATATACGTACGTCACATAATGCGTACCTTCGTATTTTAGTAGAGTTACAAAATTTAATAATTAAAAGTGGAGACAATATTAAACCTACCGTGAGTCGTGCACGTTTGAACTTGGAATCGTACTCGCGGGATATGGTGACCTAGATTATTGCGTTACCCAGATAAAGTATCGTTATATACTACCTATTATAATGAATTGTTCTGTAATATTGCTAATTACTAAATAAATAGAAGTCGAAAGTAAGAACGTGCAAATCGAATGACCCACATAAAAACGGGATAAGCTGTATCTGTAGACTCAGGGGTCACAAGTGTACGCGATCGTGTTCATTTTTTTTGCAAATTGTCGAAAGCAAAAGTGGCTGTTGTATGTAGGTGAGACGGGGCAAGGTCGCGCTGCCAAATTCGTACGTTGACCCGAACCAATGCTACATCTGATCGCTTCGAACATTCGAACATCGCTTGCCGGTCGCCGCGCCGGTCGACCGTCGTATCCTTTCGTTACCGAGAATTTATACGCCTTGCAGCTAGGGTTTACAGATCAGTTAACCATAAATCTGGACTGTATATAAAAGACCTTGATAATATTTTCATAGTTCTCTACAAAAGGTTTAAAAAGAAAAGTGAAAAATTAATATATAATAACATAAAATTATTTTTCGCTTGAATTATTTAATGCGTGTAGTGGTATATTGTACCCCATTTATAGGAGAGCAATGTTAAATGACTAAACTTATGCTGTTTCTGATTTCTGAATTGATTTTCAAAACCAAAAGCTTCTTCCTTACGGAAAATCCCAAAGTTTCGATAGAGTTGGTACCCCTACTTGATTACTAGATTGTGATCGGGGTATGCGCGTTTGATGTTCACCACTCTGAATTTGCAACTGATGATTTTAAACAACTTCAATGATGGCTGA